AAATTGTTTTTGTGTGCTGCAGCATTAATACTTCCCTTCACTGGAACTGGAGTTTTTTTATGCAGTTCTTGTGCTGATGTTACTTCCAGAGGCAGTGTGAGTGACGCAGCAGAGGATTCAGGTGATTTTTAGCACTCGGTGGCCTTGCCCTGTGAGTTTGCATGGTCTCCTGCTTCGTGGTTGAGCTGCTGGTGCTCCTTAATGCTTCTATTTCACAATAATAGCACTTACAGTTGTCCGGGGCAGATCTGGCAGGGCAGGAATTTCACAAACTGACTTGTGGCAGAGGCGGCATCCTATAACAGTCCCATGTTTAAAGTCACTGAGCTCTTCAGTACGACCCTCTACTGCCAGTGTTTGTCTATGGAGGTTGCAAGGCTATGTGCTTGACTTTATACACCTGTTACCAATGGATGTGGCTGAAACACATCAGCTTAGCAGTTAGGAGGGGTGTCCACATATTTTTGGCCATATAGTGTACCTTCACATTCAAATGAATTCTCTTAGCTATCCGTTTTAAATCCAGGAAACTTGGCATCCTAGCAAAGTACACATCTTAGCTAAAGGTAATGCTTCTTGCCTCAGGGGCTTGTTTGAGGATTCACTAAGCAGTCCCATAAGCAGGACGTCTGGCAGTAAACCCAGTCACATACCAGTGGTGTTGACTCGAGTCATACGACTTGGACTTGAGTCCAACTCGAGTCACAAATTTAACAACTTGAGACTTGACAGGAGAAAATCGAAAAAGACATGCAACTCGACTTTGACGTTAACACCAATCACTCGGACTTTGACTCGGACTTCAGCTTTGTGACTCAGAAAGACTCGAGACCCAAAGTGGAAGAAACATGGAGAGAGTCTGACTGCAGACTGCTACACTGTGGGTTACTTTTCATGTGAATGGATTCGGTTCCTGCCGTAAATCTGATATACAGCAACATCGTCCGTTACTGTGCCTATGTTCAATTTATTTTCTTTCAGAAGACAAGAAAAGCATTAGAGCTCCAGTTCGCCTCCATTAGCTGGAAACAAGCAAAGCATCAGCAGCATCAATGCAGCCTCGCTCAGCACTTTTACTGGAGAAACTCACCAGGTGAACTGACCACTTTCCTCACAGCAGCAAAACAAAAGAAACACAGCGTCTCTGTTTGACTGATTTTAACAGCTTCTGCAGGTAAAACAAGCGCAGCATTTGCCATGAAGCTGAAGTTGACTTGTTATTCGCCAGCTTCGTATTGGAATTTGCTATTCCACCTTAAATGGTGCAGCGGTTAGGCACCGGAAATGTCTGTCTGTCTGTCTGCCCTGCGATGGACTGGCAACCTGTCCAGGATGTATCCTGCCTTCCGCCCAATGACAGCTGGGATAGGCTCCAGCACCCCACCGCGACCCAGAAGGATAAGCGGTTTAGATGATGTATGTATGTATATAATATAAAGCTATAAACTATGGCTATAGTACTGTTACCATTATTCAGAGTTATGGCCTTAAATTAGCAAAGAATGCAGATTGACTTGTTTAGGACTCAAAGTTTAGGACTTTTGACTTGGGACTCGACTTGAGACTCGCCTTGAATCGAGACTCAACTATCTTGACTTGGGACTTGTGTGTCAGGACTTGAGACTTACTTGTTACCTGCAACTTAGTGACCTCTGTCACATACCACTCTTCAGTTCCAAATTTGAAACTTTCTATTGCCAGCGCCAGTCAGTCGCCTCGACTCAGATGTTCTTTTTCCATTTCCACCATCACTGCCAGCCACCTGAGTGCTTCTTCACCTTCTTTGCACTCCAGAGAGCAACTCTGGTAACACCAACGACGAGTTGCGCCATTGAACAGGCACGCAGCGAGTCGCTCGCAACTCATGTTCAGTCGAGTGCCAGGATCAAAGTGGGTTATTTAATATGGGCTCACTGGCATGGCAACAAGGGGCGGCAGATGGTGTTTTCATTAAAAGAATGCGCCTGACAAAAGAATAAACCGACTGACTTCGTTTGCGCGCCCTCGCTGCACTTATCACGTTACACCATTTACCGGTGCCGCCGCGGACAAACATGCACAAACAAGAAGCCGGAGTGGAGTCGCCCGGTGTCCTGCCCCCTCTGGAAAGGACATTCAGGCATGGACAGGTCTTTTTATGAACTTAATATACAAATGACAACCGGCATTTCAGCCTAATCAGTTTGCCGGTTTGAGATTGATTAAAACGATAGCTTGCGCAGAAGATGGACGCTGACCTCCTTTCAACCTCTAATGTAATCTGGATGATTAGAAGAGGCAGACGTCATGCACCTCTAACTGATTAAAAAACAAAGGTTTTCAAAAAAAGAGCAATATCTCACCAAAAGACACTCTCCATCTCGGAGGAAAAACAGGACAACTGGGTTCCCAAAGGTTTAAACAACATCACACGTGCAGACACTGTACGATCGCTGCCTTGTGTTGCACCATCAAATGCTTTTCAAAACTACACAGTGATAAACAATTCAAAACTATAGTAATAAACTATATTGTACTTATTCTAAACACAGTGTGATGAATGTTACGCTGTATTGTATTTGTTTTAAACAGTGTGATGAACATTAGTCTTTACAGTAAGGTACAGTTTGATGATAGTATGATATTGTGTGTGTTCTAAACATAGTGTGATGAATGTTAGGCTGTACTGTATTTGTCTTAAACAGTGTGATGAATGTTAGTCTATATAGTAAGCTATAGTTTAATGATGCTACACTACATTGTACTTATTCTAAATACAGTGGGATGAATGTTACGCTGTATTTGTTTTAAACAGTGTGATGAATATTAAACTATATTGTGTGTCTTAAACAATGTGATGAATGTTAGACTATATTGTATGTGTTTTAAAAAGTGTGATGAATATTAGATTATATTGTATGTGTTTTAAACAGTGTGATGAATGTTAGATTATATTGTATGTGTTTTAAACAGTGTGATGAATGTTAGGCTGTATTTGTTTTAAACAGTGTGATGAATAATAGACTATATTGTATTTGTTTTAAACAGTGTGATGAATATTAGACAACTGCATTTGTTTTAAACAGTGTGATGAATATTAGACTATATTGTGTGTTTTAAAAAGTGTGATGAATATTAGACTATATTGTGTGTGTTTTAAACAGTGTGATGAATATTAGTCTAAATTGTGTGTGTTTTAAACAGTGTGATGAATATTAGGCTGTATTTGTTTTAAACAGTGTGATGAATATTAGACTATATTGTGTGTTTTAAACAGTGTGATGAATGTTAGGCTGTGTTTGTTTTAAACAGTGTGATGAATATTAGACTATATTGTATGTGTTTTAAACAGTGTGATGAATATTAGGCTGTATGTGTTTTAAACAGTGTGATGAATATTAGGCTGTATTTGTTTTAAACAGTGTGATGAATATTAGACTATATTGTATGTGTTTTAAACAGTGTGATGAATATTAGACTAATTTGTATTTGTTTTAAACAGTGTGATGAATATTAGACTATATTATTTGTGTTTTAAACAGTGTGATGAATATTAGACTATATTATTTGTGTTTTAAACAGTGTGATGAATATTAGACTAATTTGTATTTGTTTTAAACAGTGTGATGAATATTAGGCTGTATTTGTTTTAAACAGTGTGATGAATATTAGACTATAGTGTATGTGTTTTAAACAGTGTGATGAATATTAGACTATAGTGTATGTGTTTTAAACAGTGTGATGAATATTAGACTATAGTGTATGTGTTTTAAACAGTGTGATGAATATTAGGCTGTATTTGTTTTAAACAGTGTGATGAATATTAGTCTAAATTGTATTTGTTTTAAACAGTGTGATGAATATTAGTCTAAATTGTATTTGTTTTAAACAGTGTGATGAATATTAGACAAAATTGTATTTGTTTTAAACAGTGTGATGAATATTAGATGAAGTTGTATTTGTTTTAAACAGTGTGATGAATATTAGACTATATTGTATTTGTTTTAAACAGTGTGATGAATATTAGGCTGTATTTGTTTTAAACAGTGTGATGAATATTAGACTATAGTGTATGTGTTTTAAACAGTGTGATGAATATTAGGCTGTATTTGTTTTAAACAGTGTGATGAATATTAGACTATATTGTATTTGTTTTAAACAGTGTGGTGAATATTAGGCTGTATTTGTTTTAAACAGTGTGATGAATATTAGACTATATTGTATTTGTTTTAAACAGTGTGGTGAATATTAGACTATATTGTATTTGTTTTAAACAGTGTGATGAATATTAGACTATGTTGTTTTTGTTTTAAACAGTGTGGTGAATATTAGGCTGTATTTGTTTTAAACAGTGTGATGAATATTAGACTATAGTGTATTTGTTTTAAACAGTGTGATGAATATTAGGCTATATTGTATTTGTTTTAAATAGTGTGATGAATATTAGGCTATATTGTTGTATTGCTTTTCTTTAAGAGTCACACAGTTTATGAAGCTCCTCAAACTCTTGCTGTAGCTGTCGCTTTGCCCTCAGCTCATGAAATAAGCACAAGATACAAGAAAACTATAGTATCATAGCAAACCACAATCTAATATGACATCATATTTTCTTTTAGCTGGCAGTATCTGTTTGAAAACTGTTCAGGCCACCCATAGCACAGCATGCTCCGGGTGATGACTCAGGCAGTATTATTCCAGCAGACTGGACCTGCTCCTGTTAGCAGGCTGACTGAGCCGAGAGCCTCTTTGGCAGCACGGATTACATCTTAGCCCTGATTTGGAGCCAGTACAGCCTTTAATCTACCAACCTCTCAAATCAGTAGCGAGCTAAGGCAAACTGATCTCAGATAAGTGCTTATTCTTCAGGGATGAGCCAATGTCTCCAACTTGTGAGCATGTTTCTGTGCATCCTCAGTGAAGTGAATGAATTACATGCAGTGGACAGTGAGATATAAACAGCCCAAAGTGACTCATATGGGAAAGAGTGCATGTATGGAGCAACAGAGGCAAACTGTTCTTACCAGACAAAGCTGGAAACCTTCAGTCCTGCCAGGATTGAGGAGCACTGGTCCCTCCACACATGAAAATCTGCAGTGGAGACAAGAGAGAGAACCTGAGCTCAGAACGTGGCCCTTCCATGTAAATATAGCACAGCCTACAGTGGGTTAATGAAATGTACTTTAAAGATATGGTTGAAAGAGAGACAATACATGTCTACAATATAATGACATACTGTAAACTGTGATATGCCAGCAGGTATAATCTGTCCTATGCTTTCACAACATGATGGAGATGCCTTTGAGTAAAGCTCACTACCCTGCTTCTGTTGTGGCAACTTAGCACTGCGACATTTGTCCACTACCATTCAAAATTTTAAATCTTTTGTTATTGTAATAATTTGTTATTTTATATGCAGTAATAACTTACACAGTACAGATTTAACTTGTATAAACTAGACCAGGGTTTCTTAACCATTTCCACCTCAATGCCCACCTATTTATCACTGGAAAGCATGAAGGCCCAAACGAAAACAAAACTTTTTTACTAAAAAATTGAAGTTGTGTTTGAGAGCCAACCCCCACAATGTTAAGTATATAAGAAAACAAAAGATCTCAACAGAATGGAGGAAAATGAAGTGGAATTTTTCTACAACATACGGATCCCTGCTGGTGACATCTCATTTAAATAAAAGTAACGTGTGGCCATGATTTCTTAAAGAGATCCCAATGTGTGGCCACAACTTAGTAAGGCATGGGAACGAGATAATTAAGTCGTGGCCACGACTTAGTAAGGCCTGGGATGGGAACGAGATCATGCCTTGCTAAGCCGTGACCACGCATTAGTATCTTGTTCTCATGCCTTACTAAGTCGTGGCCATGCATTAGGATCTCATTCTTATGCCTTACTAAATCCAGGCCATGACTTAATTATCTTGTTCCCATGCCTTACTAAGTGTGGCCATGTATTATTTTTATTTATACAGGATTTCACCAGCGGGGCTCTGTAACAACACCGCTTTTTGCACCAGTCACTCACCAGATGTCTAAAATGTTGGGGTGGGGGGTGTGGGGGGGTATTTTGTTTCTAGAGGCAGGGGTCAATAAACTGGCCAAGGCTTTGTGCACCACTTTTGCAGGGCTTCTATTAACATTGTTTACCGTTTGAAAACATTTTATAATTGAGTCAAATATTTTTTCACTGATTGTTATCACAAAGTGAAATCACTAGCCCACTACGGACCACCACTGGCTCTTCAGTATCAGTTCGAGGACCACCAAAGGGTGCTTGACCCAGTAGCAACCCTGAACTAGACACTAAAGGGTATTTTCAGATGTTCTACCTAGCATTTCAGCTCTTTACTGTAAACTGTCCGACTCTTTAATTATCTGTTTACAATATATTTTTGTCGTTACATTTCACAAGGTTTGATCACCACTTCTCAAACGTGAGGTACTCTCTGGGGCTGTATGATGACAATAGGTCATCACTAAGACGGTCCCAACTGCTAACCCGGTCGTAGCTGAGACCAGAGGTGCTGCTGCACCAACCAAAGTTACACCTGGACATGAGTAAGACCGGCCTTAGGTGTGCATGTTCATGTGAAAGCATATGTAGCAATGATGGCTGTTAAGCAGCCTGGGTTACTAAGCAAAACTGCTGAGTTCATATCTAATACTGGACATTTACAAACTGATGCTAACAAAACTAAAAAAGCAGAAGTGACTTCACCAACAGTGAAACCTGCCTATTGAACAATGCCTTCAAAGGCCAGGCCCAAAGTTTTACTACACACTTCTATAACCCAAGAATAGCTCAGCCAGTTTGCATCTAAGTCCTTGTAGCTACTGAATAATAAGCTTACACTCTTAATAAAGATGGTTTTTCAAGGGTTCTAGTGAAAAAATGGTTCTATATAGAACCATTAACTCTCAAAGAACCCTTCTCATGATTAAAGGGTTCCGCTATTATTATGATACGACCTTGTTCTAATAGAAGAACCATTTTTGGTGCTATACAGAACCGTTTTCAAAAAGTTTCTATAAAGAACCATCTACAGCACATTCTCCATCAGTTTGAACAACACTTTCATGACGCAAAGAACCCTTTAGTCATCATCATCATCATCATCGTTAACCGCTTAGTCCAGATAGGGTCGCGGTAGCAGTTGGGAGAGCAGAGAATCCCAGGTGACCCCGTCCCCTGCAACTTCCTCCAGCTCATTCCCGGGGACCCCAAGCCGCTCCCAGGCCAACTTGGAGATATAATCCCTCCAGCGGGTCCTAGGACGACCCCGGGGTCTTATTCCGGTAGGCCGTGCCTGGTACACCCCCATCCGGATCAGATGCCCGAACCACCTCAGCTGGCTCCTCGCAATGCGGAGGAGTAGCGGCTCTACTCCGAGCTCCTCCCGGATGGCCGAGCTCCTCACCCTATCAAATAGAGTGTAGCCACCACCCTGTGAAGAAAGCTCATTTCTGCCGCTTGTATTCGCGATCTCATTCTTTCGGTCATTACCCACAGCTCATGACCATAGGTGAGGGTCGGGATGTAGACCGATCGGTAAACAGAGAGCCCTCTTCACCACTACAGTCCGGTACAGCGACCGCATTACTTCTGCCGCCTGTCCCAGCCTGCGGTCGATCTCACGATCCTTCTTCCCATCACTCGTGAACAAGACCCCGAGATACTTAAACTCCTCCACCTGGGGCAGATCCTCTCCCCTTACCTGGAGTGGGCATACCATCCTTTTCCTTTTCCCTTTAGTCATGCAAAGGGTTGTTTAAGTGTTCATGGTTCTATATAGAACCATTTTCTTTACTAAAGAACCCTTGAAGAACCATCTTTGTTCAGAGTGTAGTATGTGAGAAGCCTGGGATTTTAAGGAGTTATAGATTCAGCTTAAATAGACAGTGCAGAGTGGAGTAGCGTGTTTCATCTTTTTGAGCCGTGACCATCCAAAGATTTTTGGGTGGGTGGCCCCTCTCGACCCCTGAAACACCACAGCTCTTCCCGACGTGGATAACAGTTCTGGAAGAACATCTCAAGTCAAGTCAAAGTTTATTTATATAGCGCTTTTTACAACTGGTGTTGTCACAAAGCAGCAAATCCAGGTCCGAGCCCCCATGAGCGTCGCCAATGGCAACAGTGGCATGGAAAAATCTCTAAAAGCAAGAGGATGAAAACTTGAGAGGACCTAAGACTCAGAAGGGGAACCCATCCTCCTCCGGTCAACACCAGATAGCAAAACAATAACACGAGCAAAATGAACAGAGAATTAAGTTTGACCATTAGTATAAATATAAGACACGGAAACGAGGAAAAGCAGGTGAATCAAGGCTGTGATGAAATACTTTGAGTCTGTGCAACAGCATCATCATCAGGAGGGTCAGTGCTGTGCAGGTAAGGTTTGCACAGCGATGTTCAGCAGTTGTGCGGCTCTATGGTGGTCAAACTGGTCTCTGCAGTCTGCTTCTGCTGTAAACTCGTTACACTGCTATCTCAGCTGTGACTTGTGGTATGATCAAGGCGAGTGCCGAACACACATAAGAAAATAAGAAAAAGGTATTTATGATCTTAAACAAAACTACAGCTATTCACTTTGGTTTTATCTAGAGTTTTCAAAAGTGGAGGAATAGTTGCAGACAGAACCTTCTAACCACGCTGCTGCTCTTTCTGTGCTGCAACACGCGTCTCTGACTGGCATGGGGTGCAGCAGCACCTCGACAAGCAAAGAACTAACTTGGTTACAGGCCTAGAAGAGGTCTAGAACAGGGGTCGGCAACCCAGATGTTGTCCTTTCAACAAAAATCAAACCGCCTTGAGAGCCACAGCATTTTATGTCCATTTTACCATCTTGGCTGTAAATCTGTCTCAGTATGTGCTGATGTACTAGTATAGGCTAAAAATATAAACTAAAACACAGACTTACTTTGCTCTGCTTTAAGCTTTAGCTCAGCTATAGCTGCTTTTCTCGCATCTCCGGCAGGAAACTTTTCCACAAAAGTAGAACAGTTTCTCGTAAAATGCCTCTCAATGTTCGAGTTTTTATAAGGCTGAAGTTGCTTCTCATTCACCAGCTTCTTGTTTGGATTTTCCTGTTCCACCTTAAATGGTGCCTGAGGCGCCAGAATGTAACTGCTGCACGATTTAAGGTGGAACAGGGGAATTTGAATGAGAAACTGACTTCAGCTTTGTGACTTTTTAGTGTTTGTCAGTTTCTCATTGCAAATTAAACGTATCAGGAAACCAGCTGGAGTGATTATAAACGCAAATAAGTCCATTCATCTCCAAATTATCAATATTTGTCTTAAATGTTTCTCTCTGTCTTTTCGTTACCGGCTAGCTAGGTGAGACTGTTGTCTGTGTTGCTATGGTGACCAGCAGTCTGCGCTGATCTTCAGGGTTAAAGGGTGAATTAGCAGTTCTACACTAACTCCAGAGTTTAAGACCATTTATTGTTAAACTGTGTTGAACGATCAGCAGAGCTTTATTTTACTGTAAAGGAGGATTATTTTATTTTTACCTACAAATCTGATTCAGCTGTGGAGCCACAACAGGGCAGTAAAAGAGCCGCATGTTGCCGACCCCTGAGCTAGAATTTACGCTCCCATATTGAACTTATGATTAGTTGTTGCAACAGTCTTGAAGTAACGCCCAGAAACTTAGAACCGACTTGACCAGGCATAAGTCCTGTTGGTGCAACCAGCCCCTGGAAGTTAACTTTAGAATACAATGACGTTCTTCATCTTTCTCAGTCACTTTAGAATCTTCCACAGAATCTCTTCTCTCTTTTTAAAGCTTTCCAGCTCATGAATAATCATTTGAAAGCTGTGAAACTTCCCAGGACCAGCACACTGAATTCATTTTATGCATTGCCTGAAACCAAATTAGCTGTACACTGTTGAAAACTCCGATTCCAAACTTCCAAAAACAGAGTGTGATTGTAGGCACGTCCTAAAAATGATGTGACGAGCCGCTAAAGCCCACTGGGTTAATACAGCCTTAACATGTACACGCACGCCACCAGCTGCGGGTGACCTTTCCTGCTCAACTTCTCCCCTCAGCGGTACCAGTATCTGTTATCCTCT